GCGCACCGACGCACCGCTTCTCTGGCCATGCTGAGGCCGTGTCCCACATACAGCAACTAGAAGGATGTGCAACTATGACATACAACTATCTACCGGGGCTTTGGGGGAAAAATAAATAAATAAAATTATTAAAAAAAAAGAAATACTAAAGAGAAGCAGGTAGAAATACAGTTAAAGATTTAGGTGGGCATTAACAAAGGATATAAGACAGTGTCAAAGTTAAATTGGAAATACATAAAAGCTGTATTCACAACCATAAAAAAAAAAATCTCTTTTCCAGCTCTGACCCTACAGTGTTCTAGCAGTGACATCATTAGCCTACCCACCACCAGACTGTTGTAGAACAACATGAAATGAACTCAGAGCACCCAGATTTGTTTCTAATAGGACTCCCCATTAAAAGAACCCAGGAGAGCACTTGACTCCATGTCTTAGAACAGAAAAAAGACAATCAATATGGTCCAGGAACCCCTTGCTATGTCTGAAAAGGAGGCAGCCTTCACAAATGTCTGTGGTAGGACAAAAGGGCAGGGAAGCTGATCTGTAGGGGCTGTCACTGGCCAAGTTGTGACCCTATAAATACTAAAAAGAGATCAATAAGTATAGCTTACCAGAATAAGCTGAAACTGAGAAAAATCATGAGTTTGTAACAATACACACAGGTGATAAAAAGTTTATCAATATTGAGGGCCTATGGGCCGGCCCAGTGGCGTAGCGGTTAAGCTCGCACATTCCACTTTGGCGGCCCAGGGTTCACCGGTTCGGATCCTGGGCGCGGACCGACTCACCACTCATCAAGCCGTGCTGAGGCGGCATCCCACACAGAAGAGCTACAACTCTACAACTATGATACACAACTAGGTACTGGGGCTTTGGGTAGGAAAAAAAAGAGAAAAAGAAGATTGGCAACAGGTGTTAGCTCAGGGCCACTCTTTCTCAAAAAAAAAAAAAAAAAAATTGAGGGCCTGGCCCCATGGCCAAGTGGGTAAAGTTCTGCACACTCTACTTCGGCAGCCTGGGTTTACGTGTTCAGATCTTGGGCGCAGATCTACTCCATTCATCAGCCATGCTGCGGTGGAGTCCCACATACAAAATAGAGGAAGACTGGCACAGATGTTAGCTGAGGGACAATCTTCCTCAACCCAAAAAAAAATGAGGAAGATTGGCAACGGATGTTAGCTCTGGGTGAATCTTCCTCAGCAAAAAAAAAAAAAAAAAAGTATATCAATATTGTAACATAAAAGCAGGTTGAATACAATTAAACATTTAATTTTATAATTATTGTTGAAGGGAGGATGGCATACAAAGCTCTGTTTCTTGTATTGTATACATGTTT